GAGCCTGATGAGGGACTCGATCCAGGGACTCCAGGATCATGACCTGAGCCGAAGGCAGTCGCTTAACCAACTGAGCCACCCAGGCGCCCTCTTTTCTTTTTTTTTAAAGTATGAGTTCTTAAGGCTCCTGATGCATGTTGCCAAATGGCCTTCCAGAAAGTTGGTACCAGTTTACGCTCCCCCCAACTGCTTCTGAGAGCTGGCATTAAATATTGAAAGGAAATTCTCCTGTTGGGCTTGACTAGGAAGTTCAGATTCTGTCCTTTGGACAGGAGGGAGATAGGACATGTTTTGAGCAAGATCCAACATGTTCAGAAGCAGGCTCCAGAAGGACGGTTTTGGCTGCGAGGTGGAGACTGGACTGCAGGGGAGGAGGGGGCAAAGTGTAGGTGGGGGCCCCAGTGTGGGGGCTGACACCGGAGTGCGAGGAGAGTGGCCTGCAGCGTCCATGCTGGGGATCAGGGTGAGGGATGTCCTCTGGCTCCCTGCCGCCTCATATTTGTGGATCCTGACCAACTGCACCCACTCCTCGGCCTGAATGGCTGGATGGAGGTGGGGAGGGAAGGAAAGAGATGAGACTGGCCTTGGGGAGGGTTTTGAGCCCAGGCATTCGGGAAGGAAACATACTGGTTAGCAGAGGTAGCAGTGTGTGGGAGGAAGAGCACTTGGTTTGGGGCCTTGGCTCTGCCGCTTACCTTTCTCCCTCTCCAGACCTCAAGCACAGAAGGGGGATGAAAAGCTGGGCAGAGAAGGGAGGGGGCCTCCAGGGAAGGACCGCCAGAGGTGGTGCAGCTGCTCCGGGGAGGGCAGCAGCAGGCTGGGCCTGGGTTTTGACCCTGGGGCTTAGGACTTCTCGGGTTTTCTTGGGAGGAGGAGCCAGGAACTCCTTTCCACGGTGCTGACCACTCTTCCCCCACAGGTACAACGCCCAGGAGTACTATGACCGAATTCCCGAGCTTCGGCAGATCATTGATCAGCTGAGCAGTGGCTTCTTCTCCCCCAATCAGCCGGACCTGTTCAAGGACATTGTCAACATGCTCATGCACCATGACCGGTGAGCTGACTGGCCAGGGAACCATGCAGGTGGGCCTGCTGGGCTGAACGGGGCTCAGGTAGTGTGTGGGGAGGCTGGACAGGGGTCCTGGGCAGTTGGGGCCAGGCTCCTTTGCTCCTTTGGAAGCAGCTTTACTCTCCTGGACCCCGGAAGACCACCGGGACAGGACGGGCTTGGCCCTTGACTTCATGGAACTTCCTGCCTCTGTATTCCTTTCCAGGTTTAAAGTCTTTGCAGATTACGAAGACTACATTAAATGCCAGGAGAAAGTCAGTGACTTGTACAAGGTGAGGCGTCCTGGGCCAGGGGTCAGCAAGGCTTTGGTGGCCCTGGCTGGGCTGTGGTGGATGTTGGGGATCCCACTGGCAGAATGAATCCAGAGCTGTCTTTTGGCCTGTAGAACCCAAGAGAGTGGACGCAGATGGTGATCCGGAACATAGCCACATCAGGCAAGTTCTCCAGCGACAGAACCATTGCCCAGTACGCCCGGGAGATCTGGGGCATAGAGCCTTGGCGCAAGCGCCTACCAGCCCCTGACGAGACCATCTGAGCCTCCAGACTGGACCCCAAACTGGCCCCTGAGTTTGTTTGCAATCCCTTGGGCCAACCCCAGCTCTTCATCTGGAGGGGGATACTAGAGTTAGATCTCTCACCTTCTCCTGGAACCCCCCATTTTCCCCCCTGCATCAAGATCCTAGTGTCCAGCGTGACTGAGGACGCTGCTCCCATCCTGTCCTCTGGCTCCCTGCCCCCTCCTATTTATGGGTCTGACCGACTGCACCCACTCCCCAATAAATTGATTCTCCTTGGGAGCCTCCTTATGCCTCTCTCTGTTGGGAAATATTTTTAGCTCTGGGCAGGCGTAACAGCCGCAGCGCAGTCACCGTGCCGCACCCCTCCACTCGCAGGTGCGTCCCCTCGGAAGGAGGGGGCAGCCCATGGGGGCGGGGCCCGAGACTCTCCAGCCTCCTTCAGGCGTCACCCTCCACGCCTCTCCTCCCAGAGCTGTGTCCATACTAGGTCAGCGGCCTGCCAGGCTGGCCGAGGGCGGGGCGTCTCCTGGGTGGAGCCCACCGGGGCCGGGAGCTGGGACTTGGGCAGACGCCTCCGGGACTACCGAGGATCCACGCCGTCCCGGGCAGGACTTAAGAGGGGGAGGAGCCTGTGGGTGGGTGGTGCCCTTTTGACTCCGCCCTTAGCCCCGCCCCACTGCGGCGTTTAAGGGTCTCTAAGCAGGTGGCTACGCTTGGTCTGAAGTCGGGGAGTTAGGGCGGGGGACACTCACAGACCGTCTAGGCTAGGCCAGTGTTGCCGCCTCCCACTTTGGGGAAACTGAGGACCAGAAACGGCCTGTTTCTGGGCCTCATACTACCAAGACTGAGGTGTAGGGGAGGTTCTGCTTCCCTAGCCCTGAAGCAGGAAGGGGCAAGCCTCGAAAGGCAGGTTTGGGGCCCGTGGTTTCACAGGGAGTGTGTTTGAACCCAAACCGCCGGAAATGGTTACCGGCTCCCCTGGGCCTGGCTTGTGGGGACCCCAACTGCCTGTGGCTGCCCCTCCCAAGTTCCTCCCTGCCGGGGGTGGGGGGACCCGCACGCCGGTTTCCAGTCTCCAAGCTGCGCAGAACCTACCCGCGGCTTGCAGCTGCCCCTTCCCATCTGGCCCCGTGGGGAGCCAGGCTTCCGGGGCCCGTCCCCCCTGTGTGAACTGGAGCCCCCCGCCCCCATCCCCAGACACCGAGGCCACGTTTTCAGGTAGCCGCGTTTTCATTCCTCCCCCCACAGGCCCCTGTCCCCAAAATGTTCCTAGCCCCTGCTCCAGGCTATCACAAGGACCCGCTGTCCCCACGCCCCCGATCTCTACCAGGTCTGTGCCCCCCTCTGCCCGCAGGAAGACGCCCGGCCCCGGGTCCGGTTAGCCCCGTGGGAACTGTTTGTCTCGAAAACAGGAACCCGGGCCGGGGGCTGGGCGGGGCGCCCCTTCCCCACCGCAGTCCGCTTCCTGCCCCTCCCGGCTTCCTCTGCCCAACACCAGGCAGGGCGGGGGGCATAGGGGCGTCTGGGTTGGGGGAGAGGGCTCTCGGTTTAGTTCCCCCCTCCACGTCCCGCGAGGCCTGACCTCCACTCGCCCACCCTCCGCGCGGCGGGTGGCGCAGCCCCGGCCCGCGGCCCTGGCCTCCCGGGCGCCGCGGCAGGGGA